AAATTTTAAACATTTATTATCCTCATTTTCTGCAAAATACAAGGAAAATGTAGTGTTTGCTCAAAGTTTGAGGCTATGATATGTTCTCCTAACGCGGTCCTACCATTGGTTGAGGTCTCATCACTTCCTTACCTTTGGGTCATCTGAACAAAGGAACCGACTTCTTGGACCGCCTATTGGGATGGCTGACGCGAAACCGCGCCTGCGCAGTGAGGAGGCGATACAGGAGGCCAAGGTACAGAGAGCCAACAAGCTTGCCCAATACTTCCGCATTCTCCCGTGTCCCTTCACTCAGCGGGTAAGACTTTTATCTTCCTTATTTATTCCTCAACCAGCGTTGATGGCATGTTAAACAATTTAATCTCAGAGGTCCACTCGAATCGCAAGTCTAGGCAGATAAAAAACTGGTGAATTGAAGTTACTGATTTTATTTTAAGGTATTCAAATGCCGTATCAACTTTGCAAGTGCACGCTGTCAATGCGTGAATCTTATATTAGTGCTGTCGATGTTGATACGATGCTATAAAAATACGATACCTTACAAAAACCTGCATCAATAGCTCTGAATACTGTCATTATAGTGAAGGATGCTGCGAACTCAAGTTGTGCAGAGTTGGTTACGTGTTTTTGTAATTGAGCATTAGACCTGACTTCAATCACTTTAAAATCTCAGCCTTTCATCTGTCCTCCCTCGCATCGTTTGGTCCAATGCGTGGAGGAGGGGAGAGGTGGGTTTATTTTTTTGTGTATTGCTATCAACACGCACCATCGTACTAAATGGCATTAATGCTTTTCTAAAAGAATTCTTCCGTTGTTCGAAACATGGTTGTTACCTATTCATCACTGCCTTCCGGTTCCTTCCTTCTTGGTAGGCTTCGCATGAGACTGTCATTCCTGGGAGGTTTTGTTTGTCATTTGGGCGCAAAGTTAGGAGCAGAGCGTAATACAGAAAAGGGGAATGAGTGCTAATTTTCCCCTCCCCACCTTAGTAGCTCTCCTTTTCTGCTGAAGTCATGCTTGGGTTAAAATTCCCATCTCCGACCTACTTCAAAATCATCTGAAGTAGTAGCAAAGAAGTGGCTTTGGAGCTGTGTTAGCCTCCATACTCATTCCGCACCTATTGTCTGCATTCACTAATTTAAAACCACCATTTATGCTACTCTAAGACATTTAGAAGACATTTAGAAGACAGTCTGACTTTGCAAGTTAATTCTGCCGCTTGAAATGTTAGGAAGTGGGATTTAAAATTTGAACATTTAGTTAACACGTGGAAAGATCCCTAAGTTGACATTTTGTGATTTTAAGAAACCTATAAAATGACAATTGTTTGCATATTTGCATGGAGGGAATTGATGTATGCATATCGGTCTACCGATGCCGTAAGCTTTGTTATGCCTCATACCGCCTCTCTCTTCAAAATGTTGTCATTTCACATAGTATTAAGCTGTTAAAGTCCATGGGTGTAATTCGAGATGTTTTGTTCTTCTGTATCATGCATTAATTACAAAGTGGTAGATGATTTTCGCTGAGATTGGATAAGGAGTGGCGGTGAAACGACGCTGGTCAGGAATGGTTTATATCTGTTTAAGCCTGGTTAATCTTGATGTATCGCATTCTGGAGATTTCCATACCACTAATTGCCACAGTTACCCAACAAGTGCCTAAAGTCAACTATCTCGCTGTCTTTTTTTACTTTCTTCACGATGACTTTCTACTTTGTGATGAAAGAGATGTACGAGAAGAAGGACCACTTTGCATGCAAATCTGAATCGTTTCGATTTCCCCTTCTAGTGCATTGGCGATGTGATAACGCCTTAATTTGAAGTGTTAGGCAAGCAGCGAATGAAGTGCTTTTATGTAAGATCGGAGGCATTTGCTCGACACTACCTGCATTCTCAAGGTTGCACAAAATAAAGTGGTTTAAATTTCAAGCTTATCGTAACAGTGATGTGCATCCAAACTTAACAAACCACACTGATTATTTGGGCCCTACATCTTTTACCTTGCTAAGGCAATCTGGTAATGCAATCAAAACATCATTTTCTGCTGTTAATTTATGCTTAATCAGTGCAACCTTGCATTCAAGTTCTGTGATTGCAATCTAATTGCTGTCTCCTCTGTGTCAGCAGAGTCTCTGGGGTCATGTGCTTTGGAGATTGGCGTGCCTCATCACGGTGGGTGGTTCGACTTCTCTGTGTTGCTATGACATATTTCTCCCATAATAATAATAATAATAATAATAATAATAGGTTGCTCTACTCTAAAAAATGGCCCCAGAGTGGCTATGGCTAATTGTTTCTTGCATAAGTGAAGTAATATTTAGCTAATCAAAATAGTAGTTACTTTTGTAAGGTGTATCCATGACATGGAGAATATTTGCAGTCTGATTTTGTCATGACATGTGGGTCACGTACGTACAACACTGTACCCAAGCCGCTGGCATAAAAAGCGTTGACACTGTCTTATCAAAAGTAAATACACCTCTGACGACCTTATTGTAATAAAATAACAGCAATATTTTGTAAAATAGACGATTTCTTTCAACAACATTGTGTTTTTAAAGAAATTTTATCTGAACTTGACCATTGTAACCCCTCGCAAGACGTGGGAGTACGCCTTCCAATTTTGTGAAGGCAAGAAACATCCTAACCGCTCACCACAAATGATTCTGCCGTAACGGTAAGTCAAATGAAAGAGGATGGGTTTGAATGCTTTTCTACTGGACTTTACGTCCGTACATTCACTGATTGTGGTCTTGGTGAATCGACACGTCTGCTTGGATTATCGGCGAGAGAATACTCAAGTAAGGACAGTTAAGGATCAACTTTTCATTTCAAAACGACACTCTGCTCTACTAATGACGTGTCAAACGGCGAGATGAACTCATGACTCATTTTTATGTAGACGACACCTATCAATCCGAAATGTAAGGCATTTATTCACATGTATTACTGAAAAATGCAAAATTTGGACTCTTTACACTTCATATTTCGATTCACAAGAAAGTCTTTGCATCTCCTTCCCATTTCCTAGTTAGCATGCCTTTCATTAAAACTTGATGATTTTCCTCCTCCTCTCCCTCCCTCCCTCCCATTTCTTATGAGGTCGTTGTCCCTGTCCTGCAGCAAAATGAACGTTGATGATGCGCTGAATCTCGAGCTCCTTGTAGCAAGTGACAAACGAGTGAACGAGTTTCCCCTCTTTAAGAGAGAATTTGGGATAATCAACGCCATCCCTACAATAGACTGGATTTATCTGCAGCGATAGCTCCCATGTTATTGGTTAACCTATAAATAACTAAGTTTTAGTTTTGCATGCAGGGCATCAACTCGCACAAACAGAAGCTATTCTTACTTTTTACTTTACTAAGATCTCCTTTTTTTCGCATAGGGTATGTGAAGAAAATATGTGCAAAAAAAACTATGTTTAAATGGAGCTAAATTGTTGGTTTCAGTAGTAAACACGGTGAATGTAAAAGTTAAAAATAAGTGTATTATTGTTAGCCCTTGTTTATCCTTCTACTCGAGATGGGGACACTAATGGTCCAAGGAGGAAGACGTTCTGTCCAGATGAAGCCTTGGCCCGCAGGGACTATTGGACTCAGTTATGCCTGTTTTAGTCGCTTACC